CACCAAAACATTTACCATGCTTGAGCCTTGTTTAAAGCCTGGAATGGAATTTCAGACCACTGTTTTACCCAAATTTTATCTAAATCCATAATTTTTGGGGCAAAAAAATACAACAGGAATTTTAAGTCAAATTATCTTCTAATCAAGTTGAGGACCACTTTAGTTTCTTTCATTCTGCTAAACCTAGTCTCCTATATTACAAATTAAATTCAGAATAATCCACTTTTTCTGTTCATTCTGATGATGGTTTTTTTCAGGAGAATAAATAGTAATTTATCAGAAAAGAATAGAAATAAAACATTTTTTTAGAAGATTAAGTGGCGCCTAATAGTCTACAATCCAACAAGTTAAGCAAACAAAGAGAAGGGGAAACCCTACCTTGTAAATAAGGCAATTACAAATCTAGTTTCTACACTCTGGAATGAAGCCAAGATATAAGTGTGAAGGACTCAGAGGAAAATCTGTTGTAAATTCCTTCAAGTGAAAGTCCCTTTTTAAAAGGCAGAGAACACATTGCAGAAAGGTCACAAAGTCACAGCAGTTGTTTGGGTTTTTTTCAAAGCACAACTCTAAATGAAAATTGACTTCTTTCTATAAAGACAGAGACACACACAGCTGCACTTGAAGTGTAACCCTGACACTAGAAGGAGAATAGCAATGATCAAAAATAGATTTTGCACTGAACTTCTGTAGGTACTTCAAATACCTGCTGAGTAGGCATTGCACCCTCGGTAATTTTGAAAATTTATTCTTATTTATTCTCAGTTTAAAGAAAAGGAAAAAAAGGACAAATATATCTCATATAGGCATAGTGAGAAGTTACCCAAAAGCTGTTTCGGTAAACTTTCACTTGAGCCTGGTTTTATCATCTTTCTAGGTAAGGGGGCTGTGTGAACAGGGACATATGGCAACAGCAGACTCATGTTCCTTGACTATAGTTTGTAACTCTAAGCTCTTTGGAAGGTTTTTAGAAAAGGTAAAAGACTGAGTCTCAAAGAGCTGACAAGTCATGTCATTCTGTCTCAAATATTATGGTTGAGTAGTTTAAACAGAATTCAGTGCATGGGTACATACATTCACCCACAGGCATACACACATATAAAGCTCAGGCAAATTCCACTGAAACTAGGAAACCAGACTGGAAAATCTACTTATATTACACCTTTGCATTTTAGTCATAAATTTAAAAGACTGTGGGTGTTGTGACTAACTGACAGAGAGTAAATTAAGCCACTATGTGGTGTTTACCATGAGGTAAACTGCTCCCTCTCCTGCTTTTTAATTGGAGGTTAACTTTGGCACACTCCACTATAAACAAGTTCTGGCACTAAAAACAAAGAGACAAGGAATCCTTTCATGGACGTATTCCTGTAGTTCATCAAATATTCATTACTTACATTGCCCAGATATATTGTCAAAGGTGATAAACACACACATATCAATAACAATAGTCTGATATTCTGCTCCATTCCTCATCACAGATGTACCCAATCCTGATTCCAAGGAAAGCAAGGAAAGTGCAGTGTGCAACCATATCCAAAAAACATGAAAGGTCTGGCTCTAACTCTCAGAAGTCTTCCTGAGCAAGAATAGCAAAGCAGTGCCTTGATCCTGGCCTCCATTTTTATTCACTTACATATAATTGCACACACATACAAAAATGACTGTGAACTAGTTATAGAATGACACAGCAACACTTCACCACACCTCCTACATAATACCAGAAGGCCTTGTGGCAAATACTCCAGTCAATTACTGTCTCTCCCAGTCAGGATGCTGACAGATCACACACACACAAAAAGAAGTTGCTGCAAGAAAGGGTCCTGGCAGGAAAATGGTGGCAAATCCCAGAATAAAGCTACAATAGCACCACAGTATATGTATGTATCCTCAGGCTGACCAGCTGGCAAGACTGCCACATTTCAGGCAGTAAGTACATACTTGAGCATGCCCAACTTACTTGGAGTTGTACTGTGGCTCAAACAGACATGAAGAGACACAAATATCTCATTTATAATTTTCTGGATACTTTGAAAAACAGAGGCTGTTATTGTTTTTTAGCTTATCAGGCTGTTACTATCTTGCATTGTAACTTTGCAAAGTATATTATTCCCCCCCAAAAATTAAAACACTACACCTTTAATCATAGGTTGCTCCCACTGATAAATTACCTATTTAATATGTTTACCTGGGCTATTTTCCACAGTACTAGTCATGTTGAAATTGCACTAATTAAAATATCTCTATTTATTTGCATGACTAATCAGTACTTATCTGTAACATGGCACTTCATATCTTCAAAGTACTTCAGCTGTTATAAATGGATTATCTGAAAACTTGCCCAAAAATATATCTTGAAATCTGATGCACAGACTCAGCTATTGCTTCCTAAAATAACTACTGGCTTTACATGCACTCTGAATCGTAGTGAGGGCAATACTGACAGGTCTGCAGAAGCACATGCGTTACTTATGGATGGAGTAAATATTCCACAGAAGAGATAAAGGCAGCAGACCAGACAGTGCTTCTTGATGACACAGAAAAGCAGATGGCTCAGTCCTTTGAGTGGTAGTAAAGTCTACCCCACTTCCCACCATGCTTTTTGCTTAAAAGAGCTGTCACACTTATGTGCAAATGAAGTCCCACATCCCTAAAATTGCTTGCAAGATACTTGCCACCATTCTTTCACTTCCTCCTCCTTGGAGCTTTCTACAGACTTGAATGCCAAAATATTCATGACATCTGGTACTGCTTTCTGGAGACTCTGGCCACTGACAATTTGCACTGCATGAGAAATCAATTTCTTGGTACCATGCTACCTGTGTGTCTCCCCATAAAGTTCATACCCCTGGGCCACTCATTGGTTGAAAGAAGATGAAAATGGGTAATTTTTGCTTCACAGCTCATTCTAACAAGGAACTTATATACAGAAACAAGCTACTTCCATAAGCACAGAGCTGCCCTACTTGTCTGCAAGTTATTTTCCTTTTTAAAAAGTAAAAATCACATTAGAAATGGCAGGGATGTGTCTTTCAACTCTATCAGGAAGCAGTATAAAAGAGCATATTTTATAGGTCTATTGTCTTGATTTTAAAAGGCCAAACTATATTTTAGAGCTATCAATATGCTTTCCCTTGTCAGAAGTGTAGCACCATTACTAATACTTTCTTTCTATTAAGAGGAAAACCCCCACAGTTCTTCAAAACAAAAAGTGTTTTTGTAACGTTCTGCAAGTGCCTCAACTGAAGGAACAATGGCAATTTTTGATGATGCTTTTTACTCTAGATCAGTACAAAACTGAAAAATTACTGAATCTGAATGTTACATCTCCCTGTCCCTTTCCTGTGCTGTGCCCCTGAACTGCATCTGCTCATGCATTCATTTGATTGCTTCAGGGTCCTTTAAACCTCCAAATTTCACTAGGGTTATGGTGAAGCATGCATGGTGGCTTTTATCCAGAATGGCCTGAAAGCACTTGATGAACTCTACCAGGATGCAATCACACACAGCCTACTCACCTCTCTGCAAATTCATAAGGTTGTAGAGACATCAAGAGATCATTAAGTCTTTCCCTCCCAGCTGGATCAACTATACTCGGGCTATTTCTAACAGAGGCTGCCTAACCTGTTCTCTAAGATTTCAAATAAGGGAGGTTCCACAGCTCCCTTCAGCATCTTAAACCAGTCCTTAACGCTCCTTGACATCAGGCTTTTCAACCAAATTCAAGCTCTGTGCTGCAATTTAAGCTTATTGTTTCTTGTCCTATAAATTTCTTACATAAATCTTTAATGTTTGTTCTTATCACACCAATGCAGTCATCTTTTCTTAGGACTATGCAACATAGTTTGATTTGGTATTTTCTCAAAGGCCAATGTTTTCTAAGCAAGAGGGGCTGTTGCCCCCTCGCTGAAACTACCTGCTGTGGTAAATTCTTTAGGTTATTGCAGGCACAGCCAGCCCTAAAATGACAGTCACCAAAGAAATGGAAGTGCCCCCCGTGTACAGTTAATGAGAGGCTCTCTTGAAGAATCTGCTGAGAACAAGAGCCCCAGCCCTTTTTTCCTGTTTGTGTTAGTCAGAAATACAAGTAATTTGCCATCAATTCCCAGGCAGTTCATTACTAATACTGACAGAGTCACACAGTTTGGTTTAGACTCAAAAGAAGATTTGAATGCCTGCTGGTTGTGTCCGTCTTCAGCTTTGGGAAATAAAAGAAAAAGCCAAAGAAAAGTCAAACAGAATCTGAGCAAAGCCTTTCTGCACTGCTTTTTCTATTCTGCTGCTCTTTAGACCCTTTCAACTGTACTAATAAGTACAATGCAGAATAATTAAATCCCTGACCCATTACACTCAGGAAGTTAAAACTAGAAGACAAGGCTTGATAAAAAAATCTTACCATCTAACTAGGTAAGACAGACTGCAATAAAGGTATAGATCATTAAAAAAGCAGAAAAAAGCTTCTTCACTAACATTAATATAAATAAAATAGCCAAAGAAAAATAGATACATCCTAAATGTAGAAAACTACAGATGTAGCAGCAGGGAATATGCGTGGGCTTTTCTGCAAAAAACTGTTCCACCCTGTCATATGTCTGTCCCACTCCTGACCTGAGAGTTTTTTCAGCACTAAACAGCCCTTCATTACCAGTGAGCTTCAGTAGGCAAACATGTAAATTAGGTGTTAAGTTTACAACATGAACAGCACAAAAGAAAATGAGTTACCATTTTTTGGCTGGTGACTGCGGCAACAAATCTCACAGTTCACCTCCTTATTTCAAATGGGGAGCAGGAGACACAGAAGCTACCAAGTCTGAAGGACCCCCAACCCTAGCACATATCCTATGTCTTCTCCCATGAAGAACTGCTTGAAATATAACTTATAATAAACAAATCATGCCTAAAATGTTCATAAAGCATTATTACTTTAAAATAAAAACACTTTATAACTTAATTGCAATATATATTGCCTCTTCAATCCTCTTAATGTAGTTTTAACTTACCAGAAATTTAGAGAGATCTCAGGAAAACCATATAGTTTGTACACATGAAGCAATAGGTTCTCCCCCACCCAGGAGACTCCTTTCTGTCTTCCTTTTTTCCTCCCCCACCCAAGCCCTGAATACAGGAAGAGAGATCACCAGCTGCCTGCTGAAGAAAACAACTACCAAATAGTGTGCATCATTCAGATGGCTTGGATGATTCAGCTTTTCCATGTGAACTTTAAGTGGCACAAATGGTGCTTTGTGCATTTCTGAATCAAGAGTGTATTTAATAGTCCAAGAGCATAACACAATTTCTACTTGAAGAAAAACTTTTCATCTTAAACACAGCAGTATATGTTACCTTACAATGGCTCCAGTTCTCAAACCAGTCAATAATTACATCTATCTGTGTTTATGGTATTGCAGCATCTTCAGCCTTTAAAAATACATTTTCTATTGTTCTCAAAAGTTGAACTGAGTAGGACAGTGAAAAGAGGATCTAGTGACGAGCTTACAGTTTTGAAAACCACCTGATATGATGTGCATTGGTTTTAGAGTGGGAGGGCTGGGAAGGAACAGAAAACCCAGGCGTAGCAGTCTGCTCTCCCAAAGCACAGCAGCACAATAATAGAGCAGCTGCTTGATCATAAGCACCCCACAGTTACCTGCAGCTCATTGTCCAGAAATTTGTAGGAGAATAATATTAGAAGTTTCCAGACAGTAGACTCAGATATGAAACCCCACACAAATGTAAAACACATACACATTTACTTTGTGTAGTTTTTGTTTAGCACTGCTCAGATAAAGAATTAGTGCCTGGTTTTACTTGTCTAGTTTTTTTGGCCTTTATTAATTGTTCAAATGTTCACTTGCATCTTCATCAACAAGACCCTGTTTTCATTTCACCCTTTCAATCATAAATCAGAAACGGCTCTCATCAACCAATAAGATTTGACACAAAAAGTAGAAGGAACCTAGTGCTCAGACCTAGTGCTGAGGACAGAACATCTTGCCCAACAAAACCTGTTTAATTACTGGGAGAATTTCTTATTTATGCTCAAGTACAAAAGCAGCACAAGCATGTTGAACACAACACTGCCTTCTGCAGGCACCCAAGTGTGACAATGCCAAAACTGCCTGAGGTGCTCAGCAAGGGCACCTTGAGCAAAGGGAGAAAACAGCAACATACTGAAGAGACCACTCATCACCGGAGATCACTGAAGACCTAGAGAAAAACAACAGAAATGTTGCTTGGTCTGTGCTTTCAACAATGGAACCAAGCCTTTGGGTTCCTGTAGTGTGCCATCTTCCACTAGGGCAGCACCCAGAATTTTGTCTTAGGGGTGCAAACTAGGCAACAGTACTGGAAAGCAACCAGAGAACAATGTTTTGGCAGCATCTCTTCTCCCACAAATATCTCTTGTATGTTTTTTGTGATTTTTTTACTGACTTTCACTTTATTTTAAAACATAGGCATGTTATCCACATCCAATACAAAAAGCTTGTATCGAACTAATCGGGGTGATAAAATTCTCGCCTTACAGTTCCTTCCCTGAGACAACGCTGCCAGAGTCAGCCTCACCAGCCAAGATGTCTCTCTACATGAACAGCAAATACTCCACGAGACCAGAGGGTGTCCAAAATCCTCTGTATTTTGAAAACACACCAAATACTTCATTGCAAACTAGATGAAAAATCCATCATTTCAGGAGTGACCTGTGGGAGAAGTCATGCACTTTGGTATCCATGTGTGATTCAGGTTTTTTGTACTTCAGACTTCTGGTGATTGTTTTCATTCCCTGACATTTCTTGATAGGGAGAAAGATAGCAGGAGTACTTCTCATCACAGCTTCCCTCATCATGACACCTCCCCTGCTTTGGTCAGCCACTGGGAAATGAGTCATGATGCCGAAACCTGAGCCTCTTCCACATCTTTCTAAAGCCTTATTTCCCACACAGACCACATGCATTGCAAGCACAGCAGCCAGCCACGGTCAGTAGCAGGTCAAATGCATTTCCTGTGACCAGATTCACCCAAGTGTGAGCACCCCAGGGTATCTGCCTCACTGCCTCTCCCAGACAGCCGCATCTCACTTGTCCCCTTTGCTTTAGTAAAGGTCTCTCGGTGAGCACTAGCTGAAACATGCCTGTGGCACACCAGGAGCTCCTATGCTGCCAAACCTTTTTTGTTTTTAGATTATGGCTCCCTCATAACACTGTGAGACACACCATGTCACTCCACAATGTTCCCACACTTTCACAGGAAAACCAACTTTGCAAATCATGTACTTTGCCCCATTAGCCTTTTAATTGAGGCCTGTCACTCATATCCTGAGCATGGGGTGGGGAAGAGAGGGGCTGCTGCTTTAGCTGATGGGTAGGAAGGGCAGGAGGTCCACATCCCTATCTCCAGTGCAACCTATGAATCCAGCGTTACAAAACTCTGAAAGAGAAAAAAACAGACCCTTTCTTCCTATCCAATGATAAGCTGATGTTTCTGGACCAAGGACTGCTTGGGGTGGTCTAAGTAAGTTCAAAGCAGAGTCTAAGCCAATAGCTTACTAAGCAGAGAGGAATTCTTATACGAATCAAGAACTTGGAAATGTTTTGTGGACAGTACTATTTTTTGCTGGAAGGCTCTAGTGAAAACTATCTTGGACATCAAAACAAACTGATTATGCTATAAATATTAAAGACTTTACAGCTGTTTGTTTGTGAAATAAATTTTTGAAAAGTCCCTTAGCCTTAATATAGGGAGGAAAAGGTCAGAGAGCAAAGACATAGTAAAAGGGAAATAATTAATTTAGGACATCATTTATTTCGCTCTCATCCTACTCAATTACAGGAATTTATACCAACTGTCCCCCAGAAACCAGTGGTCAAGAAATATGCCAGACAATATTAAGACTTCTGCGTGTTCAATGGGACATTCAGTGACGTGTGAGAGTTTTAGCTAAAACTGTGTTACACCTAAGAAAGCCTTTGATCACATTCTGTGGAAATACATTCAAACACCACAGCTGCACTTCAAGAATCTACAATAAGTGTACTACAGCCTTCATTTTCTACTGTCATGTAATAAAATCAAACAAATCACCCAAAATGCAGCCACTAAAGTTTGGCTGATCTTATACCTACATGAAAATCCTCAGTTTAGTTATTATTCATGAACTTGTTATTCACAAGGCAGAAAATGTTTTTTCTTATGTTTTGCTAATGAAGTTTTGTTTGGTTGGAGCTCTTTTACAGTTTACAGATTAAAATTTTATGGCTCATTTGTGACTACTTGGCATTATGAACATTTTCACTGGAAATATGGGAGGATTTCATTAGGAACATTGGTAATGAAAACAGCTAATGGGGGATGAAAGAGGAAAACACATTAATAAGTAGCACTGAGAAGCATGCAGTTACTTGGGGGAAAAAAAAACAACATTAAATACATGGTCAAAACATTTAATATCTTTTTAGACTGTAACATATTGTCTCTCAGTAAATATTGCCCAAACAAAAAAGCCTCTAAGCAAAGGTCACAAGGGTCTGAGGCTCCTCACCTGCAAAGGCACTCCCAGAGCACATCTAAACACGTGGTGGCTGAGCACCATCAGTCAGCACAGCCCAGTGATCCATCAGAATCTTGTCAGGTTTGCTCCACAGGTACATTTCAACAATTCCTGCTCTGGCTCACTTGCACTCTAAAAGGGCTACACTTACCAAGGAGGGTGTGGGCTCTCAGAAACAATCAACCAAAAAACCAAAGAAGCCCAAGCAACTACCCCTCTCAGCTGAAGATACAGTAAACTGGACTTCCTGTCCTCTGATTCCTTGGTTGCTGTCTGGCATAGGGAACATTCACCCTCACCAGAGAACAAACAGAAACCACAATCATAAATTGACCCTAAGGATTTTCCCTGTAGCTCAGAACTCTCTGGCACTTATTTTATGCTTAATTACTCTGTCTCCATACTCTGTTAATCAATCATGTAATTGTCTAAGATATCTTTACCCTCTCCTAAAAAACCAAACTGGATAACTCCATAACCACTTAAGGGAGAAAGTCAGTGGCTTACATCATCCTGAGTAACTGAGATGACCACACAGGGAGGTTTAAAAAGAAATGTTTACATCTATTCTATGTCATACTAAAACAAACACATTTCTCCCACTGGCAGGAACTGGAGGACACCCAAAGGTCTGGGGTTTTTTCCTCCACTGAGTATGCAATCCTCATTTTTTCTTCCACTGGCAAAGTATGTGCAATAGACAACTCTTGCCTGTTTCAAATCTAGTATGTATTTTAAAAAAAATCCCAACTCTTAAGTGATGTTAGAGCAGTAACATTGTTTTTAAATTTGACTTTCCACTTTTGGACAAAGTCCAGAATAACCCAAACTAAACTTTTGGACCACTGCACAAGGCCCCCTGGGAATAACACAACCTTACCAGCAATTACTATCACAAAGACAGACAAAACTGATGGTTAGGGACTCGCATTGTGCAGGCAACAGGATAAAGAGAGGTTGCTATTTTAAACTGATGCAGCTGAAGCACAGGCAGCAGAATTTGGTGAAATTACACACTGACAGCAGCTCTTGACTGCTTTTGTCAATATATATTGCAGCTCAAGTGTGGTGTGTGGAACTACACATAACTGCTTTGAAAGACTGCCCTTGTTTCATATTCTAGCATCATACAAAAGTAGTGGTAGAAATAAATGTGCATGCTGCAGTTGTGTCGGGTGCTTTCTTTGCAGAGTTACTGTCACTCAGCTGAAGCAGCATTCGACACAACACAGACCCACACATTTAACTTAGCCTGACCCCTCTTTTTTCATTCTCCAAACTGAGTTTTTTTGGAGTGCTCTTTAGACATCTTAAGTGAATCACAGAATATGCTGAGTTAAGTCAGTGGCTTCCTCAAGAGCTCTTGTCCATTATAAAAACCTCACAGCCTACAAGGAGACAAAAGCATTCCTATGTGACAGCCACAAAGAGCATGTGCTCCATAACCACAGTATGTGCAAAGCAAAGCTCAGGCTTTACAGAGAAGAAAGAAGTCACAGTTGTACATCAGGACAAAGATTACTCTAAAGGACACAACAGTTCTTTCCAATTGCCCACGACCATTTCTATCCCACACTTCAGGATGGTGCACTAGATGTATGGTGGAAATTAGGGGATGAATATTTCAGTGCAGAAAACTCAAGCAGAAGCCAACATTCACACTCCTCTGAAATACCAATCCTGCTGGCAAAGGCATTTCTGAGAATGTATGAGCACAAAAGCCTTTCTGCCTGTGTAAGATATTCCAAAAATTGAATTATGAAGTCAGGAAAGCTCCTAGGAAAGTAAAACTTGAAAAAAAAAAAAAAAAAGGGTTTGAGCTGAATTCATTGAGATCTAAGTTAAAGAGTTAAAACCTGATGACAGGTTTAAATTGGTCTATTCAGGATGTGATTGCAGATATAAATCAGTTTGTGAAGACTGCCTGGTGCAGTGTAATAAACCAGGATGCAAGATTTGGACTAAAGAAACATTTTTGCAAGAAGAAAATTCTTTATCCTCTCCAACTTAAAAGCTTGTCTTTACCATCTGTTTCCTGGTTTGGTTACATTTTGGATTTTTACTCCCTCTCCTTTCTGTTCAACGAGCACCAAGACTATGGAGCGTGTTGCTTGTAAAACAAGCCCTGCTTATGAGGAAGGAAAAGTTATCAGTTCATTGATTAACACAAAATTAGTAAAATACTCTCAGTAGTGTGTTCACCTCTGTTAGTCATCCAGAATTCAAACACTGATTAATTTAATTGTCCATAATACCAGAGGAAACACATGGCTTGGAGAATTGCCTTGCACTCTGTCTCTACAAGCCATTAGTGCTCATTTTCATGTCTTATTTCCTCTCACACATTACAATCCAAAAAAGGACTTTTTTTTTGCAATGGTTATGTAAGAGAAAACAAAGGCGTTGGCTTTCACATATTCTACAGACTTTAACAGAAGCCTGCTCAATATTTCAAAAGTGCATGATCCCCACTATATATATATATATATATATATATGCATGAGTACTAAATATTATTTTCCATTTTTGTGGGGTTGATGATCTTTTCCAATTACTTGCATTGTTTTTCCACCATAACAGTGTATTCAGAGTATTGTGGAGTACTGTTCTATGGCAGGACATCTGGAAATGTACATGATACTTATTAGGGAAATCAGCCTAGATATAGTTTTTCATTGGATAGATACACATACCTTCAACATCAAGAGATAAGCCAATATTTTGCATAATAGTAGATTTTTTTTTGCAGGTTAAGCCAGAAGGATATCAGCTGTGATTTATCCCTAGATCTGTGGGACTTTTTGTTTTACCCCTAAACTGTAGAGCATCCTCTATATTCACTATATGCAATAAGAGGTTAAGCATGATGGACCCCATTCATTTTTAAAGTAAAGAAAACACGACATTGAAAATGAGCAATATCTTCATTTTAAAAGTCTTGTTTAGACAACACCCTTAGAACAATTCAGCCTTTTTGAGGCTAGACTATACTACACCACAGAGCCTACAACATGGCAGTTTCAGCCCTTTCCTTGGAGGCAGGACCAAACTGCTGTAGGGTTCACTTGCACAGGAGCAGTTCATGTCTAGTACAGACTGCCATCTCAGGGAGTGGAGGAGAGTGGCAGATGGAAGACATCTGCTTTGATCAGAAAGGTCCAAACCAGCCTCCCCAGTCATGAGTGAGTCACAAACAAAATTAACTGAGAAGTGAATGAAACACCCTGTCTTCTCTCTCTGCAAGGCTGTAGCACAACTTCATCAGCTCATTGCAGCAGAATGGTGACATCTTCATAGACAGGTTTACAGTGTGTTTTCAACATCCTGTTATCACATGTGATTCCTGCCCCAGTCCTACATGCAAACTAGCATTTAACTTCCCTCTTTTTCCCCACCAATCATTAAACACAAATCCTTCTTTTCAGCAAGACCAAAGGAGTAGAGGCTGTTGGCAATGTATCATCCTCAAAAATAGTTAGTCTTATAATTAGAAGGTAATACAAAATCTTATTTTCTTTTCATTTGACTAAGTTGTGCCCAATACTTTGATACAGGAAGGTACAAACTCTATCTGTTTAAATGTAAAAATATATACAACTATATTTAACATTTAAATAACTTTAAACACAACTGTTTGCATACTAACAATCTTATGTACATTCTTTCTTAAACAATACCTCTTTAATATCCTCCTCTTTTGTTAAACAAGTTTTATTTTCCTCCCAAAATGCCCAACGCCACTTTAAAATTCTGGAGGGGTAAAAATTAGAGCTATATAGAAAATAGCAAGATGTCTTACAATTGTAGTGTATGGTAGCACATATTTTTCATAAAAACAACAACATCATTCAAAAACTGAACCACTGTAAAAGTTCTCTTAAGTCCAACAGGACTGTCTTTAAAGGTTACTTTGGTTAACAGCAAGTCATTCTTAAACAATTAAGGAAAAAATATATATTCTTTCACCACCTCTACAGATGCATTTCCTTGGCTTGTTGTAGCAATCCATATACCTTTACAGATGAGCACCACAGTTGTTCAGTGCTCCTTATTTGTATTGTGATTTCAAATAAAATAGATTACATATATAAGGTTGGATTGATTTATAATTAAATTAGTCCAACTTCCTAAAATCTCTGAATAAGAGAACTCTCTTCCTAAGACTTCATAGGAACTCTGGATATCAGAGAAAGAACAATAACACTACTAACTTCTTCCTCGCAAGGTTGATCTCATGCAGTACTTGAAACAGCACCACTAAGTTGCACAAAACTGCTGTTTTCCCTGTTTATTTTCTCAGTCAGGAGAGTGTCAACTTCTGTGAGCTCTTCAAACTCTGACACCCTGCCAGTTGCACCAGCCTCTGAGCATTCAGACAACTAAAGTGCCACTGGACTTCACAGTAATACAATGCTTTCCTCTGAGTCATTATGCATTTTCCAGGTCATTTGTGGCCCCTCCCCACTGAAATTTTACTCATTTCCACGGGAATTAATGCCTTCAGTTTTTGGCCAGGAGAAGGAACTCGATCTTTCTCCCCTCCTTGCACTATGAAACCCTCTGATCCATCAAAAATGACAAACAAAAAGGCTGAAGTGTGAGATTCTCCAGGAAAAGAACACTGCATTAGTCACTGTGGGTCAGTTAAGCTGCAAAGTAGAGAAGTCTGACCGACGAGCAAAGGCACTTGGGAACAGCGCTGGGGACAAGTCAGTGAGTCAACAATTTCAGTCTCGTCAACCAATTGACCAGCAGCGAGGGCTCTGCCGAGGAGGATTTTGCAGATGATGTAACAGATGATTTTTTAGCACCTTCCTCTTGAAAAGGAATTGTTGCACTGTTGTGGAGGTCTGTGTTCATAAAACACCTGCTGCCTCGAATATAATCCGTTCCCCTCACTAACTGCTTGTCAGACACTGGCCTGGAGAGCGGATGCTGCGTGGAGGGGCTTTCCTCAATGATTGGGGGTATCCTTTCATTGCTGAAGTACCTGCAGAGGACATCTTCACCTGTACAAACAAGAGGGAGAAAACCAATTATTGCTGACTTCAAAACCCTCCATTAACATTTTCTGGTTTTATAAAAGTATTCTGGTTACACTTCAAATACCTAGATCTGGAGTTTTGTTCATAAAGTAACTGGACATAAACAGCTATCAATAGACTCACAGATTTTTGTATCTTTAATGTTTTTTAAGTAGCAGAAATAATGAAATAAATCCATACTCAGAGGAGATACCATTTGAGTGTTGTATTCCAGATTCACACACACCAAAAATGATGATACAGACTACCTTGATGCAAATCATTATCATAGATGATATGTAACAAATCTTCTTCTAATGTGTTATTCAAAATGCTGAAGAGATCAGAGTTGAATCCATAAACTTTTCAATATAACTCATGAGTAACTTAAAAGCTACTAATATTACTTTGGAAAAGAGAAATTAATTTTGCAGGTGAAGATGTAAGCACTTCCTTCCCTGGTTTTGACCAGTGATTCGTGATGCTTCCTCTGTTTTAACTCTTCCCCAGACACTTGACTAAAGCAGCTGCTGCTAAAGAAATCTTGCTGAACTAGGCAGGCCTTTGGTTCTGATCTAATACAGCTTAAATACAAGCCTGCAGCACTTTGGTACCTTTCAAGCATTAAAAAAAGGCAACACAAAGCCAAAGGTTAAACCAAACAAAAAACCATACACACAAAAACCAGCCCTGCCATCTGGTGATGGCTCTGTTAGGTTCCCTGCAGGTTGATGCTTCTCACTATCAATTTCTACTTTTACATGAAAATAATAGAATCTAGCTTTGATTTTACCTAGAATTAGACATTAGCTTTCGTAACTGATTCCAAGAATAAACTAGCATCCTTATTTCCCACTCTAAAAGGACTGAAATAGACTTTCAGATGCAAAAAAGGGTGGGAAGAAGACAGTGTGGGAAGTAAAAAAAGCCATTCAACTGAACACAAAGTGTTATGAGCTTCTGTCTCTCTCCCATTCAGTGATGCCTGCAGAATATGTTCATTTCTAAAAGCAGTAGCAGTAAAAAGCAGCTCCTAAAAGGCCTTACATTTTACATTTTGTAAACAAGCTTGCTTCTTCAACAGCCTCGACAGTTAGCTAAACAAAAAGACTTAGCAAAAAAGCAGTTTCACAATCAATATTAAACACAGTAGAAAGGGAAAGGGCTGTGTGCAAGAGCAAAATGGTAAACCTGTGCTACAGTCACAAGTACAGATATGCCCTAGTCATTCTAGCTAACTTTTAATGCTCACTGCAAGTCTAAGGCAGAAGATTTGAGTTCCATCACTGCATAGTCTCAGAAATTTCACAGTTATCATCTGGCATTTCTGCTAAACCCAACAATGGTCACCTTGCATCAGTTCACCAACATGCAAACTATAATCCTCCATTCCTAATTTAAACACTTTCATGTAGTTCACCCCAAGGAAATTTTGGAGAGGAAGAGAATTAGGGATAAAACCTAAAACCTTGCCTTTTCTCCCTGATCCTCGTGGCCTAGAGAAGGGTTCTGCAGCTCCTATCCAGCTTCCATCAGCAGGCATTGACAAAGGACGAGGTTTTCCTATGGACAACACAGAAGTTTATGAGGAGTTACACAAAGTTGAGGAAACCAGTTTTTAAATTTTTGCTTTTCCCAGTTAAACAAAGGGAGAGATAAGAAATAAGGAGTTCAAACTCCAGAAAAAAATAATATTTTAAGATACTTCCACTGGTGACATATAAAAAATCAGTGTGCTGAGATGAAACAGCTGCCCTCTTGCTCATTTGGTGCAGGAGTGGACATAACATTATAACCAAAACACATGTGGAAATGGCTTTCCGTAGCAGCAGACCACAGCTGAATGATATTCATTATTGAAATAACAGCGTTTAAGAGAAATTATTTCAGATGTAGAATTCACATTCACAAAATGTACAAATGGCCTTAATATCAACCAAGCGTGACAAGCAGATTTCTAAGACAAATCATTTCAGACTGATCAAAGCCCTTATCACAACAGTGATAACAACAGAGGAATGAACTCACCATAGGACTGTGTTTTTTCTCTCATCTTGGCTGGTAGGATATTTACTTCCACGGGATACCCAGGCAGCTGATCTGAATCAGCAATAGTAAACCTTCGCCTTCGGCTCTCCTGATCCAGAAAAGAATTGGGAGACTCGGCACCCTTGGACCCAGGTAGTGGCTGACTGCGTTTGCTGCCTCCTCCATACACAAAGCTCCCCTTGTCATCCCTGAAAGGACATGTCACCACAGTTAGTGGCGTCAAAGAGTTTAAAGCTACAGACATGAGTAGGTTTGAAAGATGCTACTAGCAGCAAGTCATGCTCGTGACAACTGGCATTGTGCTGCAAACAAGCTGGAAGAAACCCCCAAGAAAGTCAGGTGATAGAGGACTTCATTATATTTAACAAGGAGAAAAAGCTACCCTCCTCATGCTACTTCACTCTTAATGAGTAAATTAACACACAGTAATTTAACACACTGAGAAATTCAGAGGCTCCATTCCAGCAAAAGATTTTGATAAATGAGACCTTTCTGTCCTGAGGGCATCAAAGCTCCTGATTCACTACCTGCTCAAGAACATAGCTGTGACTCAGGAGTGCTACATAAATTTATCCATCTCTGTATGTGTAATGGTAACAGCTATTACCTCCATCTGACAATCTCTGCCTTTCAGTCATTATAGGAGTCCAATATCTGTCACTGAATATTTACCACCTTCTCTCTCCCTCCTTGAGAGTTTCAGTAACAGATTCATAGTGTATGTGTGCATATATACATATGCACACACACATATATATATACACATATATGGTTTTGATTAAATTCTGCAAGTACTTTTGGAAGAGAAGCTACCCTTCAAGTTAAGATTTGCCTGGAGGTTTTTCCCCTTCCTACATGTTACAATCTTATTGCTTGAAGCAACCTTTAGCCAATTCAGGCATAAAAACACATAGCTGACTGCCTAAGCATACATATGCCCCAGTATTCACAGCAGTCCCTGGATGGCACACCCCACTTGTCCAGCTCTCCAGCAAGAACAATGCTGCAGCTCAGTGAATAGGAAGGAGCTATTTATGGAGATGCAGAGAACAAAAACTGCACTCAAGTGTTACACCAGAAATGTATGTGCATGGAGAGCTCTCCTACACCACCACCATGTGGAGACTGTGCCATGGGGCAGGAACCCAAACACTGCTCTCTGACTCCCAGTATGGAGCAGAGGAGATCTGTGCCAGAACAGGATGATGAGGGGGAGCAAAAAAAGCAATCATGACACAAATGCACCACAATTTCAAGAGAAAAGCAAAACATGTAGAGGTCAAAATATATGAGCAAAGAGAAGGCAAAAGAATTGTCCTTTCTCCTCTTCCTGCCTGCCATAGCTTCTCACATTTGCTTTCTTTAAAAGTCAAAGTCAAGATGCCTTTCCCTTTCCACCAATCATACAGGATGAGTTTTACATCTTGTATTGCAACTTCCATCCTTTTCAACAGGGATTGAGGTCTAAAGGTATTTTAAGCTCGATATAATTTTGTGTCCCTTTAGGAAAATGAAACAAATTGAGCACAAAGATATAATTCACCAATGTGCTTGATATTTAACGATTTGAAGACATGACTAAGGCATTCATCTGCTAAATCTATATGCTTGTTATTATGCTAAAAGACTTAAAGATTTGAGTATTTTTTATTAAGAATTGAGCATGTGTAACCATAAAGGCAAGGCAAGAGCAGGCCGAGGTGAGTCCGCCTTCAGTAAAGAGATCCTACCTAAGTGAGCCCCCTCCTCCCAGTCATGCCCCAAAACCTGCAGTGATACCACCTCTGTCTCTGTATCAGCCCTTACATGACATGTGCAAGTGCCCTTCCCACAAGTCCCACAGCAAAAGGTCACAGTTTCTGTGCTGGGCTACCTACATGCAACCCAAAATGTCAGGGAAGGCCAGGAAGCATGCCTGCCTTTCACATCTTGCCTGAAAACACTTTTTTCCATCACATTCCCAGATCAGCTGGCAGGGTTCTGGCATGAGTCAACAAGAACTTGAGAAGAAACAACAGTCAGCCTTACCACACACACCACTCCCCCTCCCACTGCGTATACAGGTCTGCATTTTCATAGCTTACACCACAGGATAAAAAAATAAAAGTTGACGTATTGCCTCTCCCTTCCCTTCAGTGGGAACATATTTGTTTTAAACAACTTAAAAATTTAATATGATAGGCATCATTTAACGTGACATTCTTTTCTATCCCTACTCCCACAACAGTTACTCAACTTGCTAAAAAAGAAAAAATCCAACAGTGAAAAACATTAAGGACAAAAATTGCTGTGTGCAGTTGGATTTAAACAGTGTCAGAAACATAACTCCACAACAAAACCAGAGATGATGTTGGTGTCATGTTCTGGGAACAACTCTGCTCTCTGTGGCACACAATAATCTTCCAGTAATAAAATCTGTTACAATCCTGGTAGTACACACACTTAAGCATAACTTCAAGCAATCCAACTCATTTAGGTAGCTGGAAGAAAGTTTGAGATTTGCAGCTTCCTCAAGCTGATGTGCACAGAGCTCAAAGAGCTCAGAAAGAAGTGCAGTGCAGGAGGTTTCTGGTGAGTGGTACAGGTTTGTTTGCATACCGAGGAGAATACGGAACAGCTGGTGGAGGGGGAATGTACAGATCCAAAATGGCTGGCTTCTCCTTCTTCAGTGAGGTATCCACGGTGCTTTCTGGAGACTGGGTTGAAGCTGGTGGAGGACTGGTCTGAAATGTTAAACAGCTATCAAACACCTGAACATCCAGTTATCATTCACAGATAGATAATTTAATAATAAATAGCACCATTTTCATCCCCTAGTGAACTACTACCTCTGTGATATACGAACACTTCAAAAACTCTTAGAATCCACATTTTCCTCCACCCACAGTCTTGGCTAGCTGCACAAGCCCTCCCACAGAAGTCCTATCATGGGTAATGCATTGCTCAAGAATATTTTGCTCTTTCCAGTTCTATTTTTCATGTAAATTCCACAGACAAAAAAAGCAACTGAGACAAAACCCCACTTCTATATTTAGATGCATTGAAAGAATACAAGAATACAATTTGTTTAATACCGATATGATTAGCAAGCCTTGTGAAACTGGCATATGCTACCTTTATTCCATACACTCCAATGCCTGGGGCACAGACAGGAGTATATTAAATTCACCATAGATTGGATCAATGGATATAAGGGCCAGGGAAGCAAATTAAAAATAGATTTGGTATTGCTCATCTTTGCACCTCACTCCTATATATTCTCAGCATCTTGCCAGGTTCCTGTCTGCCTGTAGGAGAGAAAAGGTTTCAAAGACCTTTCTTCTGTGCACAGCCACTGCTGGGCATAGTCTATAAGCCAGCCCACCTCAGCTCTTCACTGGTAATACATGTCAGGCACAATGCTACAGAAACAGGACATATGCATTGGTGAAAGGAAGGATGAACAAGTAGTCAAGTATACATCTTCTACCCATTTTGAGAGAAATCTGCCTTCATGGAGACTTGTGATAGCCACCAGCATTTCAGAGGTTTAAATTATCCCCACATCTGTAGGGAGCCCTGTATCAGAACAGGAGGAGGAGGGGGAACTCTCCCTCGTTTTATTAATTTCAGATAATTAGTTTAAATTCAGTTAGGCTGTTTGCTCCTGCAAGCATTAAGCCCTAAATTTCCTAATGAAACATTCCATTCCTTAACATGGTTATTTAAGAATTACTAATATCACTTTCTCTGCTTAGTATCCAATCTGTGAATTACCCAACAACCAAATCTTATTTAAACAAGTAGCTTAAATAATTTTTTGAAAAAAACACACTTTCTCCCCCTTCACTAGACTAAAAAGAGGACAAATATATGGAATAGTTTTAAGCTATTTCAGCAAAAGCATATTACTGTGATAAATAGAGAAAGCATTTATTCATTGCTCCATGCTGATGAATTCCATACATATCCGCAGTTTTGCCTCAGATAAGTTCTCCCAGTGGCACACAGACTGATTAAAATATTCAGCACACCTAGTCCCTTTGTGTAGCAAGAGGGCATTACCTGGTAGCAAGGAGAAAAAAAAACATAATATTTTCCCTTTTATCTAGGAAGCAGAGGAGGACAGCCATTTCCCCTAACCTGCCTTGACATGTACTTAACATGAGTATTTTGGGGCATTTCTGGGATTTCTCTTTTCTCTAGCTGCTACCAAGGCATTCCCATCCTGAAATGAGAGTGGAGCTGGGAGGCTCCCACCTGCACCAAGGGTGGTTTCCAGCGCAGGTTCTTCAGTGGAGCAGGAGTGAAATGAAAAGAGCCAGTAGGACGCTTCTTAAGCAGCAGCCTAACTCCAGCAGGATTCTCTCGCAACTTTGCCACCAGATTTTTTAGTTGCCATCCAACCTGGAAGAGAATAAAGACATCTTTTATTCAGCATTTCTTTTCTGAAAGCAAACAAATATGAAAAACCCTCAAGTTAGACTGTTTGTTTTGACATTAATCTAGAAGAGATAAGGGATCCAAAAAAGCCATCTTAGGAATTAAAAAAAAACCTGAAATCTCCTTTTTTGCAAGATTCTTCATTTTCTTTCCAAGTTCTCTTCTTAAGATATAAACTAAATACTGAGATATCAAGCAGTGCTCTTTATACCTCAGCTCCAGTCCCAGAAGGACACATAGATATACTCAAATTGACTAACACAGGGATTCACAGTGAATTACTTTTGTCATGTTTCTTTCTCACATTGAAAGGGATTGCCTAATGTGCTAAGCAAAAACTCAAGCATTACATCCATGTTCCCAGATGCAAATGATTGGACAATCATTTGTAAATTACTGAGGAGACATTTTAAAGCTCTTTATCTGCATTTCAGTGGATTGTAATGAGACATTTTAAAACAGGTCTTTAAATGCAACATGAACTATTTTAATATGATGCACAGAGCATTTAAACATGAAATACTGTATATTTATCAAAATATTGCAAAGAATAAAATCTGTCTTGAAAATAAAATATTAAAAAGTCTCAAACATCAGAACTGCCTCCTGACCCCATCCATTCAGCCCCTGTGATGCAGAGCAAGCATAAGGGAGGTTACTGACCACAGTTTGCCGATTAACTTGGATCACTTCATCACCAGCATGAATCTTCTGGGAGCGATCAGCAGGGGACTGCAAAGAGGAAAACAAGAGTCATGTGCTGCATCAGGTCTCCCTCCCTCCCATAACAACACCCACCAATCTAAGTCAAAGGTTGGAGCAGAAATGTTCTTCATTATACATAATTTTCACATCTACTGATAGCCTGAGAAATGTAAATTAATTAATCAAATTATTTATTTTTATGCTGGGGAAACTAGACAGGAAGAGAGAAGGCATAGCCACCATCTGTTACAGGCCAAATTGTACTTAAGTCATGGGACAGTCTCCACTTTCCTTTTCCCTCCAGTTTGTACTATAGTATTAGACACTAATGGAAGAGGACTGACGAGGATTTCTGCCCTAACACAACAACCATCTTAAACAACTTTTAAACAAACATGTATTTATTTTAAAAAATACATTAAGACTTTGAATGTACAGAACAAAGCAGCAAAACCCCTCCAATCCACAAGATAGATCCTTTGCACTTTACCTTTTTGTTTTCCAATGTAAATAAAAGCTTCTGACTTTCATGTGAAACTGCCTGCCTGAATCACCAAAGCAGTAGATAAAAATACTTGCATAGACAGGTATTTTTCAAACACCTATCTAATAACAATACACTTTAAAATACAATTTTCTTGGAACAAAACCTAAGCTCTGTGGAACAAAACCAAAGTATGCAAAAATTTAGATTTAGATTTATCAACAGCTGGTGCAATGCAGTTATTAAAAACACTCTCACTGCTATAACACACCGACTCCTACCAGCCTTGACAACATCCAAAGCACACAGACACGCTACCTTGGTACATGCTGCACCCTGGCCACAGGACAGCAACTCCTCCCATTCCCTCCACCCCATGAGTAACCACAGGCAGCAAACCAGCTCTTCCTAGTGACTCCAGAACTAAGCACTGGGATTAAGGACTCCCTTCTCCACCTCGTCACACCTTTAGACCTGAAGTAACTTTGTTATGAGAAAGGCCTGTAAGAATAAACAGTACAACAAAGGGAGAAAACATGGGGAATTTGTGGGAGGCTTCAGCTGTCATGAGTAACCCCATTTCTTCATTGTCTTCTTGCTTCCTCTGAGAGGAAATGCCTCTGTGGAAAGCTGCATATATAGGAGTCAACCAAGATCATGAAAAAATGCTGGGCCAGAGTCAAGTTTGTGAAAAACAAAGCTTATTTCAAGCTGTCCTTTGGGTGACCAACAGCTCATCTGAGGGAGGGTGGGGGACTCTTGCACAGAGAACTCCTGCAGCAAGTGACAGGTCACAGCACTGGGATCACATCGTGAGAGCAGAGGAAAAAGCAAAGTTTAGCTCTAGGCAAACACAACATGCAAAGTCTCACGTAGGATGGCATAACTTGGGAATCCTCTTGGCTGATTCATACCAAATGGACTTCCCAGTTCTTCCACTGTTCAGTACTGTCCATTCAGGGGTGCAATTCCATTGCATTCCCATACACCAGCTCCTGGGGATAGCTACTAAAATACCACTCCAGATCTAGCAAGAAAATTGAGCAAGATGTAGCAAGAAAAAGATCCAGACAGGGTCATCTAAATGATACCACATCACTATAAAACCATCAGTTGTTCACAGATCTCTCAGTCGCTTGTCAAGTTCTGTTGCTCCAAAGGAAGAAGTTTCCCCAAAGGAAGAACCAGTGTTGATAACAAAAAGCAGACACTTAGGTCAACACTCAAAGCTACAGAAGGAATACAGACCTAAGTAAGACCTACATGCAGAAGCAGCTTGTCAGCAGTCAACACTACTTTCTTTTGCATTTATCAGATGTTAAAATTGCTGCAGAAATGGATGTGGTCTCTGTGGCAGATCCTATAGAGAGGTATGCCAGGACAATAGTATCAAAGCTATAGAAGCTTACACTCTGCACTCTGAACTGCAAGCTCACTGCAAGCATAGATTTCCACACTCTCCTGCCTGGTCCCTGGACCTGGCAGGGGAACAATTAGAACCACTGGTTCTTTCCTAGTCACCAAAAAAGCATTGCTGCAAAAGCCAAGTTTCTATGTCTCTCTGCTCTTTCTTTTCCTTTCAGTCACTGCTCCTGGACAGTAGTAGCCTGTTTGAAAACACCACAGCATCACCTGCCAGCATCAGCTGCTGACTAGAGGTCAACTTATTCAAGGCTGCCCAGAAATAAATTCTCAATAAATTCTCAGCTGCAAAGGACTCAACATATAAATAAAACAAGGAACCACCTGCAGTAAAAAACTAGTTGCCTCTCTTGTCAACTACTTCCTTCCAGCTGACCACTCTTAAAGTCTTACTTGTTCATAGTCTTTTTTACTCTGCAAGGTAATTTTGTCACGGGACAGCTCACTGATTTCATTACTCATTACTGAATCTAGCACACTGCCACCTAAATGCTCCCATTAGGGGAGATTGCTTTTGCCCATGGAAAGCAAATACATCCAAGACTTGGTTAAGCAAGATACCATAAGAGCTCAGAACAGCAGATACAGTAACCTATTAAAGCAATTACTTTAATGCCAAGCATTTGAACTAATTTGTGTACTTGCAGGAACTGGTTTAATCAGACTAACAGTGAAACACACAGGCACAAAGTATTTACAAATTGTGGACAAACAAATGATGGATGACACAGTACTTAAAGCAGTAATGCCATGCAAGACCTGTCTAAAATAACAAAAAGTGGCAAGTCAAACTATCTCAAAGCTGCTGTCTGAGAAAATCTATATTTGCTTCACTTACATTTTCTGTAGTTCCAGTAATTACATGCAATCCATCATAAGTTGATTTGATGTACATTCCCTACATATAAGGAAAAAATGAAAAACAAGTTTAAAGGCAAAACAAACCACATAACTTATCTGATTAAAACACAGTTGGCAACAGACTCAAAACATTATTAAAACCAGTTAACAATTTGTACATTCTCGCTAAAAAAGTGTGTGGTATAATATTACAACACTCTAAACTTCTTCACAGATCACTTTTAGTGTCATTTATTATAATATTTATAAAGACTTAAAACACCTAGTGTATGGAATAAGACTCAGAAACACTCTCTGGTTGGTAATACCAAACACTGCTGATTTTGCTGCCTTGTAAGTCTTTGACCTTGAACAGAACTTTATTTCCTTACTATCCAGCCTGCTTTAGAGAATGACAGGTTTTACTAGGTGGCCACCAGTTCTCTCCAAACAGAACAGACCCACACAGGTGGGCTACAAGTATCGTTGACATGTTCTTTCACAGCTTCTCTTGGTAAGTCAATACAGACAGCCTCATAACCACAATGCTTACATAAGCACTAAACTTCCAGCAGAGTATTTGTGGCTCTCTATGCTAATGCTGAGTGTGAACACAGGGCAAACTTGATGTAATGGGTGTTGACTCTAAGAGCACCAATTTAAAAATCATGAACAAGCTATTAACTAATAATTACCTAGATTTCCCACAAGAGGTGACCAGCACATTGATTTAATAATTTATTAACAAGTACATAACTAGTTTTCCTTTCTGCATCTGCTGTTAGAAATACTCACACTAAGAAGTACAGAACTGGATGTTACTCAGGAGCTGAAAGCAGCTTAGCTGCCTGAAATTACCACACTTACTTTAAAAATAGGTGGAAAATTAGATGATCTTTTTGACCCTTCCTCTCCAGCCAATTCCCTGCCTGTTTTCTTGTCAGTACCCAATTGGGTGCACCCACCTCCTTGTTTTCTTATTTAGGCCAAGCTAGACTGACTCTGCTTCGATGTAGCTTCTATATTAACTAAGAGGTTCCCATAATTGCAAAAATGCATGACTAATTCAGTCAAATCCACTGGTCTAGGTAGAACTATATAGCACAGTAATACTGGGCAGCCTCCTCTAAAAATGTTCATTTCTCCTGCCCTCAGGGCTAGGAATACAAATGCACGTAACAATTTAAATTCTCTCCAACTCATTCTAACACATCTGTTCCCTAGACAGAAAAGCCACCAAGATTTCAAATTAAGTTTCTCATAACCAGCACTCAGCTAAGCAGAATCCATTGAACGAACAAGAGTCAGTAATAAGACATGGCCACCAAACAGTTAAAAATTCTCATTTTCCTGCTAATAGCAAACCTACAAAATTCTCCCATTCATCCCTATCTTGCTATAAACACACGTAAAAAATCATCTTTCAAAACACAAACATAATTTCTCATCGCCTTCTCCTTCTCTCAACCCCCCCTAGAAAAAAAGTGGTTGTTGTAACCTGAAAAAATAAAACTACCAGCTTTACAAGCATTTGTAAATTCCCCAATATTCTGGTTAACATTCCTTCAAACAATCAGACTAATAATAACCTTCAACAATTTAGAATCAGAAATTATATTTGGGCTCAAGCCTATTAATGTGCATATCTGTCCCTGGCAGCCACTCCAGCACATCAATGACAACTGACCTTTAGGGCTCCTTCTCATGCCTCTTTCTTTTCCCCACAGGTTATTATCAGTTTGGAAATACCTTATTATAAATACACACTTGCATTGGCTCACAGGGCTACTGGGAACATCAGGACACTCCAGAATTGCTTCTTACCAGGCCTTCCCCAGGTTTAATGTTGGTTAAATGGACCTCCTCCAGACATGCACACTGGCTCATCAGTGGGTCTGTAGTTGATCGGATGGCTTTATCACAAATGCCATTTAAAGTCTTGGCCTGCAATGAGAACATACAAAAAACAGTCAGGAAAATTCTCTCCTGGCTTCTTCCTCTTTCAGTTTTCAAAATATGCAAAGGAAATTAATTCTAAAATCACTGAAATAGAAGATTCATTTGTACAGGTCTATTCTGCAGCATGTTTACATCCTTATTGTAACACAGAAAGAACCTGTTTCCATTAGTGCTACCTTACCATCACTAACAAATGCTGACACACCCTTTGCCTGAAAAAATAAACACACAAAATATAACAAAAAATTTGGCTTGGGGTTGGTTTGTCTAAACCAAAATAGAAGTCATTAAAATATTGAAACATTTTGAGGATTCTTGTGGGAACAATTGACAGTTTTTCATGCTGTCCTGTACTTCTGCTATGAGAATACAACTGGCCATGTGTCACAAAAAGTGATGTGCTGGCCATTGACATATCTGCAAAAACCTTACAGTGTAAGGTAGGACTATCCAGCACTTAAGTGTTTCTGCAGTACTTCTCTCCATTGTGCCTCTGAACTGACCTCTTCTGGAATGCTTACACAGGCAAGGTTCATATTTCCCTTTTGACCAAAACATAACTGATCGTAAGCCAACATTATAAATAAAGGCTAATTCTGACCTTGGCGTGTGTGTGTCAGCAAAGTCAGAGGCAGAATGGCTTTGCCTTGCAGAACCATGTAACTATCAGAATGTCTAATTAAACATGAAAAAAGAAGGAAAAAAAGGCCAAAAACTCTGTGCCCTCTCTAGACTCACAAATTTCATTATGTCCCACTGTGCTTTCTGCTTTGACATCAAGTGAAGCAAGGCTGACACTCAAAGTAGGTTACAAAGTCTTAAAGTTGAGAGAAAATTAGTACACAGTACAGTAGTTAGCTATACACAGTTTGGGAGCTTGCAAGATAAGTCACCTTTCACAAAGCGCTTGAATCCTTGAGTCAAAGTAGACACATGTAACTACAGAACAGGAGCGAGCTATGTCATAGGAAGATATTGGTTTGGATTACAATGATCCCTGGAAACAATAGCTCCAACGTTTTCTGTTTCATTTTACGTCAGATTTCTAGAGCAGCAATAAAATAAATCAAAACAATGTTCAAGTGTGAATGCGAGGAGGAACTGCTCAAACAAGGGAATTTCAAACAATACCTACTTCCAGTGTGGGTGTGCACAAATGGAAAAAGAAAGATGTAGAGAACTCCCTTTTACATGATCTTGTTATTTATGAACAAAATTATTTTTAGTTATTGTGGTACTAAATTCCTAAGCATCTATGAGCTACCGGAAGGCCTTATCAAAGAGCACAGCCTGGTTCATGTCAAAAGCAGGAAGCGATGATTAACTGTTACAAAATATAAAAAGCATTCCATTACACTCTGCATTTGGTCACAAGGCTGCTTCAAACAACCCTAGAAATTCAAGCTCAAATATAGAACCAGAGCTTCACTTCTGTGGCAGGGTAGTTTTACATGAAGAAGCATAACAAGGCAGAGCGTCTGCTTATTAAGGTACTAAATGCACTCCACAGGCATAATTGGTTTATTTAGCCTGTGATCATTCTGTAAGACTAGTCCTCCCTTGAAAATTTAAGGTTAGATTCTCTTGAAAATATAGCTGTGTAATGAAACTTTAAGGAATACTTTACTACATGCTATCACCATACAGTATCCATCTGCTGAAATTTCAATTATTCCTCTACAGGAAAGAACATTCACAAAACAAGTCATAGTAATGTTTACTTGCATTATATGCTTGAACATTTGGGACTGAAAAGCTGTTGTCAATACAACCAGTACAGAAGCAACAGGAATGAATGTGAATGGAGACAGCTGAGTTTCAACAGAAACATAAACTTACCACAGTCTGGACTTTATCTTCCATGTCAGCCACAGTGCAATCCTAAAAATAAAACAAGAACAAAACCCCTACATTAACCAATAAACATGGAAACAAATCATCTCTGAAAACTCTGCAAAACTTCCATTTAAACCTCAAATACAAATAGAGTTATTCATGCTGCAGGGATTAGTCAAGATTAGTTTCACCCAGGAGGGCTCAAAAGGACTATTAAGCAACTATTTTCTGGCCCTGGTAGAAAGCAATAATAAACCTTGAAAACTAAGAGAATGTGGGATTTAATTACAGCAACTGACTTTTCCAGAAAAGCAGAACCTGGCACAATTAAATCAGATTCTCAGAAGGCCAAGCAGATGTGCCTGCCTTACATCCCAACTCAGGTACTCTTCTGCCCCAGGCATCAAAACAGACCTAAACATATGTTAAAAATAGAAGGGAAAGTGATATTCTAAAAAATATGCTATCAATGACATTCCTGAAGGGCAGAGGACTGCACACAAGGCATTATTTACATAGTCCAGGTATAAAAGTCTTTGAACTAAAAAATGTTCATGTAAAAATCTACAGAAGTCATCACTGTTTTCTGCAAGAAGTGTTGAACTGGAGAATTATATTATTCTCAGATTAAAAAGTTTAAAAAGTACATAAATAATAAGACAAGATTTACAATATCTACAAGGAGAAAATCCCCAAGCATTTTAATAAGCTTAAGAAGGAGCCACGTTGGAGAAGTTTGTGGAGGACTTTCCCCTGCTTTTCTCTGCTAAATACATGTGCACAAATCAATACCAAATGCCATCTATCATCGTGCAGCCAAAATGCTCAAAATTGCAAAGTCTTTCTGCTCCCACTCATTTCTGTTTCTACTGTTTATTATTTTGGCCCTAAAGTCTGACATGGAACTGTAAGTGGAGTAAAATTCTGTCCTTGAATCTATATAGCTATCATCAAAGATAACCAAAATCAACTTGCATTCCCACCTTGCTCTATATTATGATATGCTTTTATGCATCATTTATGATTATGCAGAACGGCACTGGTTCCACGAGAGCCACTCTGGCCTCTTCTTCACCATTAGAACTGACAATCTGTTTCTGTAGTCTGCACCTTAATAAGAAATACTTTTAAAGTCTAAAAACCCTCCTAAAGATTTTTCAACTGCATCTCTTTTCCACATCAGCAGACTCCTCCAGACTATTCTAGCATATGTGCCCTGTCCCAGGACAAAACTGTGTTGCTTGGTTCTTCCCCATTAATGCTTCTCATATGCACCAACCCCATCTTTTATTATAGCTTATATTAAATTGGCAGAGAGGTAGTCTGACATTTTTCAAAGGCCAGGGCTGTTATTTACAGCTTCAGTTCCCCTGCCATCAAAGGCTGACCTAACAAAAAGAGGAGACACCCTTTTCAGCAGCTTTATTAATACATTCAGCAATCTCCTATCTCAGTTCCTGTAGCACTCTCGGGTGAACACCATCTGCTGCTAGAAACACAAACTGTCCCACTGCACCCACTGCACAATCTGCACATCTGCAGCTGTAAATCACTTTGTTTGTGCAATTGCACATGGAGCACAAGGAAGGCACTGAGCAGCAGGCATGCACACCTTGGGGTACCCAGACACCAGCCTTTCACAGTGACACCAACAGGCATCACAGCTTGATATCTCAGGATTTTTCTGTCCTTTGACATCATCCCTTCAACATGGGGAGGGAATCACCCATGTTACAAAACATGGTCCTCCAGAGTTCAAACATTATATGGGCACAGAATAATGGTTAAGAGCAAGTTTGGCAGTCACTGAAATGTGCACACAGTGCTTCACAGCCACAGCCAGTGCCACGTTCTCAGAACAGGCTCAAGAACAGGCAGCATTATTCAGAGAGCCAAATTATGTCAACTGCCAAGATTGCCATGGCTGCTACATGTCCTTTTAGCTACTATCTGTACAAGCACTCATCATACAAGTTTTGAAAAATAATCTGGTCTTGCAGTAGTGGCAGAAGCACTCTGGCTAGTAGGATCTGTATCATAAAGGTGGCAGCTCCTTCCATTATATGCAGCATTTCCCATTTGATGGCTAAAACATTCTGCATGGGCCAAGACTTATGGAGTCTGCAAACATAGGTATAAAAACCAATTGAGCCATATTTTTGTTTAGAGTTAGCACTGATAACTGTTTTTCAACGTGCTGTTTGGAATGTGAAAATCCTCAAATGCAAATCAACTATTTCAAAGACTAACTCTCTTTCCAGTAAAGCTCAAGAAAATGAGAGTGGCCTTAAAGCTGCAGTCATTTAAGATACAGCCAGCAAAACCAAAATTGATAATTAAACTGAAGGGCAGGGGCAACAACAAAAAAACCCCACTACTCAAACACAGACAACTGAAACTGACCTTCATGGACTTTCAAAGTTGAAAGTGAGATCTCATTCCCAGAGCTGCCTTTCATTAGTACTCAGCACAAAGCAAGCACATAACTTCCCCAACACCTCCTTTGCTTCCCGTTTGGAAAGCAGAGAGGAAAAGAAATCAGCTGACCTTTTGAACAGTAGTAGTGAGGTCCAAGCAGAGCTGAATGATTCTGTTCTTCATTGATGAAAAGTCAGCAATACCTGTAAATGGTGTCCTACAACAAGAGAAAATTCCCCTTAGATTGGAGGGAACAGTTTTCTCCCATCCTACCTTACCAGTGAGGAAGAGCATATTAGAGCAAGTGCTACAACTCTGACATTGACATAGGTGTGAGGATAGTTTTACAATGTAAATATTCTGGACTGCATAGTCCTGCTCCACTCTTGCACCAAAACTGGGAATTTTCTAGCCCTGTCCTTGGGTTTACCAGTGAGAGAACCTCCAACTTTCTGACTAGACAAGGAAAAAATTATTCTCTAAAAGAAGAAAAATAGATTTTCACATTTTACACACAGAGGTGCAGTGTGACTTAGAGAAGAATCATTACAGGTAGGGTAGCTTTAGGACCTGAAGAGTCCTACCACTGAACTTTCAGACAGTTGCAAAACCTAGAAAAGGGGTTGAGAAATAACCATAGCAGGTCTGGAAATGGACAAGCCAGCAATTTTGAAGACTGTGAGTTACAGAAAAGAATTTAGGGTGAGCTGCCAGCAACAGAGTGAGAGGAAAGGACCAGATGAGAGGCACAAAGTGTTAACATCACTGCCTGGACACAGATCAAGTCCTTACCTGAGAGCAGGATAAAGAATAAAAGTGCACCTTGCTGCAGTACCTGTACAGTTATTCTCATCAAGCAAGCTAGAAAGGACTTTGAGAATTTATGTTCATTTCTTA